GACTAAACTATTTGCTATCATCGATTATCAGGAAAGTTTGGGGCCGGTTATTGGGTTTAGGAAGAACAGCGAAGTCTTGTTGGTAAGTAGTGGGAATTTGGTGTCTTATAACCCTGAAACAAAAGAAAAGAAGAATCATGGGATCCATGGTATTGGCTACTTGTTTTATGTGGATACTTATGTTGAGAGCCTGGTCTTAGTCGGGGGGTTGAACGGACTCTCATGGAGGCATGAATTTGTCAAGGAAACAGAACAAAAAAGAACAGCAACAAAGAACAGGAAGAACAGGCAACGTATAGTTTTAATGGGAACAAAAGGAGAGATATGATTCTTACTTGTTCTTGATTAATTTATAGTTTACATTTGCTGTTGCTTTTTGTTCATGTTATTTATGTGGAATAGACATGCGTCTACTTTTGAACACCAAAGCATTATGTTGAATCGAGGCAACATCTTTTAAATGCTAACCCATTGCAATGACTGAGTATGCATGAATTATATTTTAGGAGAAAAAGATCAGTTTGTGGAAATTGACATCAGTAGTTCTGTTGTGAGTAATAGTTTCTTTTAACTTCGGTATTATTTTGTTTCTTATGTGTAGTCTCTTGTGTTAGGGTTTGTGGCTACGACGGAAGCTCAAGCTCAAGACTAGGAAGCCGGGAAAGGCGGGAATGGGAAAATGTTAGAAGTGGAGGCATTGTGGTAAGCCATTCCTTTATTAGTTACTTGTTTGCATATAGTCTTTAACTAGATATAAATGTAGTGACGTCTTCTTTCAAGGAATGTATTCAACTCTGATATTTTTATACTATTGGAACATTTGTCTTCCTATAGATTCTATGTTCGAAGTATTACTTTACCATTTATATCTATGATGATGTTATTGTCACTGCAATCTGTTTCTTGGGTGGCTGAATTTATATTGACTAGATTAGCCCTGTTTGGTGGGGGTGGTGGTTTTCATGATAAGCATTGAGAATTACATAATTATGATCCGCGGTTAAAAAACCGGTGGCTTGCTTCATGAAGACGCATACAGGGCTTTGGTTACTCAAAATTATCGTGTTCTCCACGGTGTGGAATTTTTTGGAGGGAACCCAAATACACCTTCGCTCCATTTGTTTTCTAATGAAAATTGCAAAACATGAATGTAATTTTAGTGCTCATATTCTACATTTTAGGATTATGAAACGATTTTGAACCAATTATTATCTGCTACCTGATTTTTAAAAATTATTTCAAACAACTTTTCAGTGCAATCAGACCTGTTTCTTTTTAAATTATCCCTTCTTTGCAACGAAACTTTTTCCCAACTGGAGAGATTGGCGTATAACTGAGATGCAATGCTGACATTTATCTCCCCCCCACCCACAAAAAAAAAAAAAAAAAAGAGATATAATGCTGACTTGCTCACTATTTAATGGAAAAAACCTCTAACATCTTGAGTGATAATTTTTAGATTGGACCTTAGAAATTTTTATTTGTGATAATTTGGATTGGATAGTCGTGAAATGTTTCTCTACCCAGTTCTTGCAATTTAATTTATGGGATTCTTCCTGTGGAAAAAATTGATTTTTACAGGAATTAGATAAAGGAAAGTTTCTAGTTTGTCAAATTATATTTATTTGCTGAAGCTCTAGCTTGGAACTTGAACACCAAAAGTCCTGCTGCAACTCATGTAGCTTTTAAACATTAAAAGAGTTCGCTTTTGAATCTTGTCATTTGATGCTTGTAGATGACTGCATCATATTTGCCAAAATATTGGAATCTGTGTGCGGGATTATTATTACTAATGCAATTTTGTGATAGGAACTTCCGAAAGGGAAGTCAGGGTGAATCTTTCGAAACTTTTGATAGTTCTCATTGTTAAAATGATAGGAATTATAGGTAAAGAGAAGTTCAATATATTCTAGAAAATTTAATTAAACTGGAACGAAACTTTTAATTTGGAAAATAAGTAGACTTTGTAGACAATGTACAATTACTCAAAATCATTGAATTTGGTAATTATGGTTTCTTTGCATGACAATTTTCTTGCATTTTATTGTTGAATATACATGATCTTTGCAGGAAATAGGACCAAGAAACGGGTGAAGAAAGTTTTGCTGTGGGACTGTCGGTAGCTCCTGCATCACCTCCACAGAGTTTTTGTTTTTTGATGCCTCACCCTTTTTTCTATTCTCTGTAGAACAGAGACTTATTCCACCTTTTATTTCATTTAGTGTGTAAAACCTCTTATAACTTTCATTAATTTATGTATTATCGTTGGAGCAGTGATCATGTTTTCTCAGGACTTGTGATAGAGTCACAATAGTATAACTGAAGTATCTTTTATCCTTTGCGGATCCTCTACCTTGAGTTATATTCTGCTGGTGAGTAGTCAGCTTGATTTTAGTGGTAAAGCAGAGCAATTAACATTAAGGAAATGCATAAAAGTTTAATCTCCAAGATTGAAGGAGTGATGAGATTATTAGAATAGTGGTATTAGGTTAGATATATAAGAAAAATTGCGTTTATTTATGTAACTAGTGTACGGTGATATTAATTGATTAGGATTAAGTCTATGACATTATGTAAACGATCTCATTATATAAGAAAGTGATTTTGTTTTTTTTATAAAATGAGGACAAAATAGTATTTAATCACTCAATTCCATAAGATTGAACCCCAATTGTCCTGGAAATACTTATCTGGCAAAGGTGGGAATAGCAATTCGATAGGGCCCTTAGTCCCACGCTCCTTTTTCACCGGTGCCAATTTCTCAGTCTTTCCTTTTATTTTTTATTTTCCTTTTCAGGTTACAGTCCCAAATTATAAATTCTAGTATGATTTAAGTTTGGACATCTAACTTGCTGAAATACATATAGATAATTCAAGTCATGATATGTTCTTGTTAAATACAGAACCAGAAAAATTTACACAACCCAGAAGAAAACATCTTGAAGAAATTTACAAATCTGAAACTCATTGAGGGAAGGAAAAAGAAAAATAATGGAGGAAAACCTAGAAACAAGTGACAACATTGGGCGGAGACAATGACATCGAAGAACTCAAAAAGCAGCACGAAACCGCCGCTTAATTCTTACAAATATAAAGGCCTTGTTTAGTTTGTGTTTCTCAAAAAATTTTAGAAAAAATTTTCTAAAAATAAGTTTTTAAAAGTAGTTAAATTAAACAAATTTTTTCAAAATTTTTTTCCAAAACTTGTTTGGTTTATAAGTTTTCCAAACAAATCTCTCTCTCATACATATCAAATCAATCATTTTTTCTAAAATTCTCTCTCAAAATAATTTTTCAATATATCTTTTGAAAAAAAACCAAACCAAACAAATTTTCGTACTTTTTATCTCAAAACATGTTTCTCAAATACAAACCAAACAAGCCCGAAGTATTTAGAACTAGACACTAATGATTTGAGCATGACAAAGAAAAAGTTTTTGATAATTTTGGAGCCGATCAGATGGCGAAAACACAATACAAAATTAAGAAAGTACTGACAATGGAGATGCAATAATGAATCATGACCACGAATGACAATAGATGAATTGAACCTTCCAAAATTGCCGCCGGTGAAAGAGTTGGAAAGACTTGATATAAGAAAATTCTATTATACACATCCTATATTATATGCACTCTTAATTATGTTATCTTTTTTTTAATTATGATCAATTTTCTTTTTTAATTAGAATATTATTTCAAAATTTTGGTTATGATTTATTTTATTTTATTTTAATTTTGACTCAAAAAATATAAAATTATACTATTTTCTTCCGTAGTTATAAGTACATATATCATAGACCCCTGTGGGTAAGTCTTTCCCCTTTGGTTAATGAAATTATGTTAACATGCAGCTCTTATTTATTTTGTTGCTTTAGTCTTAATTAAAAAAATTAATCAGTATATTTAGTTTCAGTTTTCTGAATTCAATTTTTTAGAAATTGATATTTTTTATTTTTTTCTTATTTTTTTGTTTTTAATGAATATTTTTAAAATTTTAAACGATTTTTTTACTTTTTTATATGCATCTTACTTAGATATACCTAAATAGTAAAATATTTGTGAAAAATATTTTTAAAAATTAATAAATACACAAAAATACAAAAAGATGTACTGAATTTTTATTTTTATTTTTATTTTTTATATTTTTGGTATTTAGTGAATTTTTTAAAGATTTATTTTCACAAATATTATATTTTTTAAGTGTATTTATATTAAGTGTGCCTAAAAATTGAAAAAAATAATTAAAATATTTTTAAAAATTCAATAAAAACAAAAAATACAAAAAACAAAAAAGTAAAATTTTTTAAAAAGTTTTTTCTGAAAACTAAAACCAACCAAATTCAATGTAATTATATCAAAATTATAAGGCTAATTGTTTTTTTTTAAACTTTAGAAGAGGTGAGAATAATTTAGGAATCGTTTGGGAATATATATTTTTTATTTTTTTTTACTAAAAAGTAAAAATAAAAAATAAAATAAAAAATTACTAAAAAGTAAAAATAAAAAATAAAATAAAAAATAGTGAGTGAGTGAGTGAAATAAAATCTTTTAACTTAACATCCACCCAAAAAAAAAAAAAAAATTTAACTTATTACTAATAAATATCGAAATGGTTACTAAAATCTTAACTCCCAAACAACCCCTGCCCATTAACCAATAAAAAAAAAAGGAAAATGTTTGAGGGTCACAATTTTTGTGACCACAATGGCTCAAAACAGCCAAAACGACGTCGTTTTGGGTGCAAAACATGCCAAAACGACGTCGTTTTGACAATTTTGAGCCATTGTAGCCACAAAAATTGTGGCCCTCTAGCATTGTTGAAAAAAAAACAACCGCTACCCAGAAACAAAAGTCAATGCAATTGTAGAGATACAAAACACACATTTCCCTTTCTACCCATTTCTCTGTTCTCTCTCCCATTCAAGAAGCTTGCTCGCTCTCTCTCTCTCTCTCTCTCTCTCTCAAGAAGCTCCAAGAAATCTCAATCTCCAACTCAAACCATGCCGGACAATCTACCAGAGGAACTGTTGATTGAAATACTCATAAGACTACCAATCTACACTGTCGTTCAATTCAGGTGCGTTTCCAAATCATGGTGTTCTCTAATCACTAGCCCTAATTTTATCAACACATACCTCAATCGAACAATTTTTGTTTCCGTATCCAACAACACTCATTCTCTACTCATGAGACACTTAGCCGACATCAAAATCTATCATCAAGACCACTATACCATACATTGGAGTAACAATGATGACCCACTCGATTCGCATCACTTTGAGCTTCAATTCCCTTTTCGGGGTTTCAATAAATCTTTTCGAATTGTTAGTTCTTGTAATGGTTTGGTATGTCTTTCAAATGATTTGTATTGTATTATCAACAATGTGATTTTGTGGAACCCAATTATCAACAAGTCACTGGCTCTTCCATTGCCAAGAATTTCAACTTATTGGCTTCATGGTCTTGCTAATCATGTTGTTGGATCTGGGTTTGATCCCAAAACTATAGACTACAAGGTGTTGAAATTGACCTATTTTGAAGAAGGTCCTGATCATTTTCGCTTGAAAAAGCCCCCTTCGGTTGAGCTTTACTCGCTTCGTTTGGGTTCTTGGAGAGACATTCGTGTTGTTGCGCCTATGCGCCTCGTACATTATAATTCATCTCAAGCTTTCGTTGGCGAAATCATCAATTGGGTTACGGTTGATAAGAATAGGTCTAATGCTTTGATTTTGTCATTTGATTTGAGGGATGAGGTATTTGGAGAGTTGAATCTGTCAGAAAGTCTTGTTAAAGTGAATTCTTTGACATTGCCTATTGCAGAATTTAGGAAGTCACTTGTTATGTTCCATGAGCCTCACATTTCTTCGAGTAAATGTTTTGAATGGGTGATGAAGGAGTATGGTAAGGTAGAGTCTTGGACCAAACTATACACCATTGATACGGTGGGAATGGGAGAGGTACGTTTCTTGAGGAGAAATGGTGCAGTTGTTTTGTCTTCAAGGAATGGATTGATTGCATATAATCCCAAGAATCAACGACTCAGGGATCTTGGGCTTCATGATGTTCATTTCTTAGTTTGTGTGCATGCCTACATTCCTAGCTTGGTTTTGCTTGGGGAAGGAAATGAAATCTTGGTCGGCCAAGCAAAGTCTCGTGATTTGCAAAAACTTCTGACTGAAGAGGGTAATGTTGAGGAGGAAAAACACTAACTTTGAATGAAACAGGGAAGATTAGGAAGAGCAGACAAGATTCAAGTGTACATTTAATAAGTTTTTAGCTTCTTGTTTCTGATATATTGCTAGAAATTTTGGTTTTTTTGAGAACTACAAAATATATTGGTCAAAGCTAGATATCAATAGCAATGTAAATACTAGTTTGTTCTTCTTTTTCTTTTTCTTTTTTTAAAAACAGTAAATGCTAGTTTGTTCAAACTTCTTATTTGTTAGCTCCATTTTTTTTTTTTTTTGTTGATTCAGTTGTACATGTAGTTTATCAACAAAGGTGGGGTTTTTAGTCCTTCGTATGCAGCTAAACTTGGATTCCTTTGACCTTTGTAGAAGTTTGCCTTTTGATTTGATTTGAAGATAAAGCTTGCAGTATACTTGTAAAGTCAATGAAATGTAAAAGAAACCATTCTTAATTTCGCCATCATTTAACTTCTTAAAGTTCTTGGTAGTGCAAGCATAAATGTTGCAATCTTTGATGCCCTTAGTTTGAAGTGAGGATAGATCCAGAAAGGGAGCGACCTGTCACGGCCTTGGTTGTTTCCAAGTTATCCGTGCAGTACTTTAGACAATCTCAAGCTTCGCTTGATGAAGCTAAGTCAGCCTAACTCACAAACTTATATAAAAGAGAAGTAAGAGGAACACAAGAGAGTTTGAGAGAATGCCTTTTGTATTCACTATGAGAAAGCTTTACAATTCTTGGATGGTTTGGAGCAAATTATCTCCTCTCCTATTTATAGGCTCCCTAGGAGCATTCTAAAGTTCTCAAGAGAATGCCATGTAGAAGCTTCCTTTAGAAGCCTTCTTTGCAAGCTACAAGAATGTTCTAGAATGCTATAGAAATATCTATACAAGATATTTACAAGTCTAAGTGTTTTGAATACTCAAGGATGTTTTAGAATTCTCTATGTTCTCTCAAGTGTTGGAATGAGCTAGGAAGTTCTAGATCCTTCCATTAACCTCTATGCTCCTAAGCTCCAATGTAGGGGATTTTTGCCATACAAAATTTAACAGCTTGTGACATTCTTCCCCACCTATGCTGGCAACGACGTCGTCGCATCCTCTCCGCAAAACTTTTCTATTTGCTCCTGGAACTACCATAAAGTTTCTGCTGGTACCCAGCTAGCCTCGCTTTCTGGTAGTCCTTTTCATTTTACCAACTATTCTGTGCTAAGAGGAACTTCACGCCTTCAGATGACTCGGTCGGCCACAATGTATTCTACCTCTTTGTCATAAGAGGTTATTACTGCCGTTGGTGCTCGCAATGACTCCCCTCGGCTTGAGTCTTCCAAATCAGCATGATAGAGCTTCAAATTACTTACATGGAAGACTGGATAAATCTTAAGCTTTGGAGGCAATTGCACTTGATAGGAAATTTTCCCAACCTTCTTTGTGATGGGAAAAGGTCCTTCATATTTTCGCACCAATCCTTTATGCAGCTTTCTTAGGGACTTGAATTGTTGAGGCAACAGCTTAACAAGTACCAAGTCCCCACTTGGAATTCCACCGCTCGTCTCTTTCTGTCAGCCCATTTCTTCACTTTCTTAGACGCCTTGTCTAAGTAGGCATATGCCACATCAGCTTGCTCTTGCCATCCTTTAGCAAACTTGAATGCTGCAGTGTAGCCAGACATCACTGTGTGGGGCGTTAATGGCTGTTGTCCAATTGCTAGCTTGAATAGGCTGTGATTTGTGGACTCATTTCGTTGCAAGTTGTAAGAGAATTGGGCTACATCCAACAGCTTAGCCCAATCTCGCTTATTGGTATTGACAAAGTTCCTTAAGTAGAGCTCCAGCAAAGCATTCACCCGTTTTGTTTGGCCATCAGTCTGCGGGTGAAAGCGTGTAGAGAAGTGTAGGTCTGACCCCAACATCTTGAATAGCTCAATCCAAAATCGTCTTGTAAAGCGAGGGTCCCGGTCACTAATGATGGACCTAGGTACACTCTAATACTTCACCACATGTTTTGTGAATAACCAAGCCACCTCCCCTGCTATGCAATCTATTGGGGCTGCTATGAATGTGGCATACTTAGAAAATTGGTCAACCACTACCATAATAGAGTCGCACCCTTTCGACTTAGGCAAGGCTGAGATGAAGTCCATGGTGACACTCTCCCAAGGCTTCTCAACTATAGACAATGGTTCTAGCAAACCTCCAGGTGCTTGCTACTCTACCTTGTCTTGTTGACACACAAGACAAGTCTTCATGTATGCCTCCACATCATCCCACATTCTTGGCCAATAGTATGCCGATTCTAATAATGCCCTGGTACGCCTTTGTCTTGGGTGGCCTGCCCATTTGGTATCATGACATTCCTTCATTAGATTCCTCCGTAGGTTACCTTACTTTGGAACATAGAGTTGTTTCCCCTTTGTGTAGAGTAGGCCATCCTCCACCTAGAAACGTTGAGTTTTCCCATTGTTGGCTAATGCAATGATGCCTTTGGCGAGTGGGCCATGTTGTAGCCCTTCTTTGACAAGTTCAACCAACTCCCCTCAGGGTTTGCTACCCAAAGCTGCAATTTCACCTTGCGACTTAGTGCATCAGCCATGAGGTTTGCCTTCCTTGGCTTGTACTCTAGGACATAGTCAAATTCTGCTAAGAAGTCTTACTATCTAGCTTGTTTAGGGCTCAACTTCTTTTGGGACTGAAAGTAACTATTGGCAACATTGTCTGTCTTGACCATAAATTTGGATCCCAGCAAGTAGTGTCACCACGTGCGCAAGTAATGAATTATTGCTGACATCTCTTTCTCTTGCACCGTGTACCTCCGTTCGGTGTCATTAAGCTTGCAACTTTCATAAGCAATAGAATGCTCATCTTGCATAAGTACTCCCACAATAGCAAAGTCTGAGGCATTCGTATGTACTTCATATGGCTTAGTGTGATCAGGTGGTCCCAAGACTGGTTCCTCCATTACTGCCTTCTTTAAGTCCTCGAAGGCATTTTGGCACTTTTTTTACCATTCTCATGCCTTGTCCTTCTTTAAAAGACCGGTGAGTGGTGCTGCCCTTGCTGAGTAGCCTTTTATGAAACGTCAGTAATAGTTAACAAAGCCAAGGAAAGACCTTAGCTCCGTCACTTTGGTGGGAGCCTCTCATTCTTGTATTGCCCTCACATTGTCTTCGTCCATCATAAGCATCCCTTCCTTGATCTTGTACCCCAAGAACGTCACCTCGTTCATTGCAAATGAGCATTTTTCCTTCTTCGCATAGAGCTCATTTTCTTTTAACACTTTAAACACTGTTCGTAGGTGATCCACATGGTCCTCTAAGGTGTTGCTATAAACCACGATGTCGTCCAAGTAGACCACTACAAAACGGTCCAAGTAAGGATTTTGTTCATTAACATACAAAACGTGGCTGGGGCATTGGTGATGCCAAATGGAATTACTAGGAACTCATATGAGCCGTACCGAGTAATACAAGTAGTTTTAGGCTCATCCCCAACTATATTCTTACTTGGTAGTAGCCAGATCTTAAGTCAAGTTTAGTGAAGTATCGAGCTCTTCCAAGTTGATCAAACAAGTAAGCAATTAAAGGAATAGGATACTTGTTCTTGATAGTTACCTTCTTAAGCATCCGATAGTCAATGCATAGACGAAGCGAACTATCTTTCTTCTTTTGGAATAGCACTAAAGCACCATAAGGGGCTTTGGATGGTTGAATATAGCCAGTATCCAGCAAGTCCTTCAGTTGCCTCGTTAGTTCTTGCAACTAGGGTGGTGCTATCCTATAAGGTGCTTTGGCGAGCGATGTTGTACCAGGCTCTAACTCAATCTTATGGTCCACCTCCCCGCATGGTGGTAGTGTCACGACCCTAACCCGCCCCTATGGGTTAAGGACATAACCGGCCAGTAATCTTGAGATTACCTACGGCCTCAGACCAAAACAGACATAACTCGTCAGAGTAAAGGGGCCAAACGGAAGCAATAAATAAAAACTTTGTCCATAGACCCGTGCTTATATGCACATCAAACAAACCATACACGTATATGTTAATAACCCACAACAAAATACAGTACCATAAAATCCTTTACAGACAGGATCATCCAAACTGAGTTAACCCATATCAAAACTATATACAGATATACATAAAGCCCTTGCCAACAAGACAAACTATGAATGCAAACAAAATGGCAAGGATGGGTCTCGTGCGTGAGACGCAAGGCTGACTCTCCAAAACTCATGTTGTTCCTGGTAGACTTCATGGGGGCTGGGTTTGGACTTCTCTTGGCTCACCTACAAACACATGAATGAGCGTGAGCAATAGCCCAGTAAATAATATCAAATACAAAAATTACATAACAATGTAGAACAACATGTTCCAAACGGCCTTTGGCCCAATTCATATTTCTACTTAACATATATATATACTTGTACAAAATTTAGATTAAGTGACTGTAGTTCCAACATACTGGCCTTTGGCCCATTCAGGTTTCCATTCTTGTCAAAACGGCCTTCGGCCCATTCATTTATGCCAAAACGGCTTTCGGCCCATTCATTTATGTCAAAACAGCCTTCGGCCCATCCATTTATGTCAAAACGGCCTTCGGCCCATTCACTTATGTCAAAACGGCCTTCGGCCCATCCATTTATGTCAAAACGGCCTTCGGCCCATTCACTTATGTCAAAACGACCCTAGGTCCATTCATTTACATCAAAACAACCTTCGGTCCATTCATTCCTATCAAAACGACCTTTGGTCCATTCATTCATTCCTGTCAGACTTTTGTCCACAATCCCAATTAACAACTAATAAAGTTTATAAGGGAATAAACAATTGGACATTGGCAAGCTTTCAAATATTGATATTACTCACAGTGATCGACTTGTGGATTTGCCCTAGAGCTTGACCCTACACATTTCATGAATACAAAAGGGTCACTAACAGTTCAATCCGTTCTTTAATTCACATATTCCTCTTTAGGCTTTATTCCTATCTCATTAACTCATTTACAATGCTTAACATATGTCTAAGAGT